AGACTAAACAGAGAACACAAGACCAGGGACCAAAACCACAAACAGAAAACATGGACCAACTGCTAAGGTTTAACTAAACAGGACAGAAACAGGGATTATAACACAAGGCCTTAACAGGGACCGAACTAATGACACAGAGTGGCTAAGTACGACAAGGAAACAGGGCAACACTGACAACTCAACCACAGACTAAGATAACTGAACAGATAAACACAGAGAAATAATAATCAAAGGAATAACAAATCAAGCAGAGCATACAATGACATTAACAGACTGGACACAGGACAACAGACCTAAACCCTTTAACAACATACTAAATAACTAAGATACTGAACTGATCAAATATAACAAAAACTCACAAAGGGCAAAACTGTCCGACAGGCAGAATGTGACACCATTAAATCTAATTTAAATGTGAATTTGAATTTGAAAGGTATGTTACATTTGTGACTGCGGCTTTTTAGCTAACTTAATTTCAATATACAATCACCACAGAGGGTACAATCAGCACCTCTGTCAGACCAACCAGTACAATCAAAATTGACACGACTCACATTTGAAGCCTCATACTAGTAATTTAATCCACCGATCGATTAAAGTCCAACAAAAACGGTCTTGTTACATTGTCAAAGGTCCAGACGATCCAATCCAGTAAAAATATTTAGTCCAAAACATATTATTCCATCAATAAATCCCCTGCGACTGCTGCTGCATCATTTCATATTTGCCGGCAAACGTGGCTAATATGTCATTATGCCGTAACAACTCCGATGTAAACAAATTTGATATTTTGTATTTAAATTGGCCGCTGAACTCTGACCTTTCGACTGACAGCTAATTTGACCCAATAGGAGTTCACATGTCCCTTTTATAGCCTACAGCAACCAACGAGAGCCCACGCTGTACGGAAGGGCCAGCCCCTATTATTTTGTGGCTAAGCCCCGCCCCCCTTAGTTACTGTTGCTAAGTCCGACAAACTGCCTGTGTAGCCGCTGTGTATTACTGCACTCCCCGGAGAAATATTGTCAAATGTACTTGAAAAAGCGAACTCAGAAAGAAACAGACAGTTTTGCAGTTGCATTATACATTTGAAGTTATTCAGGCTGTCAAAGGGACGTGAAATAAATTTGAGATCCAAGCTAAAACCTACTGATCACACAGTGCAAGTGAATCACCGCCTCCCCCGACGATTGAGACAAAAGATATAAGATATAGATAAGAGATAAGATATAACAACGATATTAAGGATTAATACTGTTCCTGTAAAGCTGGGTAGGTCTCTATTCTTTTTTACAATCATTAAAAAGAAGAACAGTAGGGCTTTATTACGTTAAATTTAGTAGGAAGTTAGCTAGCATATGCTAACTAACATTACATTATGAACGATCCACAGCCTGGATTTATTTTAGGTTTTGGAAAGAGATAAATCGTACTTCTCCTTTCAACCTCTCTGGGTAGCTGCTGTAACTATTACAAGTGCCCCGGGAACAGCGTTTGACCATATCTTAGAAAAATACAGCCAAAAAAAGCTAGAAAACGAATCTTTTTGCATTACAGTCAATGGAGCGCAGTAATGAAAGTGTCGGACCTCAGTTAGAGCGAGTCCTATACTGCGCTGTGATTGGCCAGCTGTGTATTCGGGGGCGTGGCTTAGCGAAGGGTCAATTGTGCCGATGACTGGCACTTCATATAGCAAATAAAATTCTGAAAATAACTATATCCAGCTTTAGGTAAGAAGTTCATGATCTACCAGCAAAAAAACACATCGGCGTCAATCTACAGCGTGGGGCAGTGTTGTTTTTGAAAAAAGAAATATGCTGGAACCTGTGTAAAACATTAATTTTTAATGGTATTGGTATAAAATCTAAAATTGGACTAGGTAAGGCTTTATGCTGTGGACCCACAGTGTAGCTGTCTGCATGGAAACGATAAATATATTACTTCTTTAGTGTGTTTAAACTTATAATAATCATTTCAAGTTAGACACTTGAATAGGCATTTAAAACAAGTTTTACAGGAATGGTAATAGTTTACTGACACATGTTTCTCTATTTTTGCTACCCCATTACAATAATCATTGAAGCCAATATATGAATAAATAATAAAAACACCTTTGTGTGTAGTTCAATTTAGTTAGAACAGAAACACTCACTGCATCTTCCAAAATGATCATACAGTTGAATTGCCACCTCTCTTAAACAAACTGAGTTCCTAAGAATTTTATATGACTTGATTAGTGACTTGCTTGACTTTCATCACAGTGACTTGGGACTTGCTTGAGACTTGAAGGTTAAGACTTGCTTGTGACTTGGACATGCACTGTAAGAAAAGATACACCATATCTACTCAATAAAAATGAGGCAACAGATTACAAGCAATATTATTAATTAAATATCACAATGTTTGGTACTGAGTAAATTAATAGTTATCCATTTAAGGGCCACACATACAAACAACGACTCACACTCACATTCACACCTAAGGACAATTTTTTTAGAGATACCAATTAACCTAGGCTGCATGTCTTTGGGTGGTGGGAGGAAGCCGGAGCACCCGGAGAGAACCCACACGGAAACATTAAACCCAATGTACTTATTTACGCAATTTCATAAAAACATACACTCAAAAAAATAACTCATTGGATGAACTCAATTAAGTTGTATAAATATATGTAGCCTCACCTTAAACTCAGTACATTCATTCAGCAGAATGTAAATGAGGTATTCAAATTAATTTGTATGAAATACATTCAACAGAATGTAATTGTGTTAGACTAACTAATTTTTATCAAATACAACCAAACTGAAATAATTATATTAACTAAATGAAACTGATTTACATTTGTTCAAATCAAATTTATTTAATAAATTGGAAAGGAAATTATCAATTAAATATAATATAAATTATTTTCATTTGATCCCCCATCAACATACGCACGAGATAAACGTCGTTAATGTTTATTTAAACTTATTTTAAAAATACATTTAGATTTGAACATCTTTTACTTGGAGCCCTCCGCGGCTGTGGCTCAGGAGGTAGAGCAGGTTGGCTGTTAATTTGGAAGGTCAGCGGTTCAATCCCCGGCTCTCCCTGGTTGCATGTCAAAGTGTCATTGGGTAAGATACTGTTCCGCCAGTGTGTGAATGTTAGTTTCTGTTTGAGCACTTAGGCTCAGTGTATGAATGACTAGTGAATGCAGATATAGTGTAAAACCACTTTGAGTGGTTGAAAAGACTAGAAAGGTGCTATGCAGATCATTTACTAAAAAATGTTTCTCTTGTTCCTCTTGTTGGATGTTTGAGCTGTACTGTGCTGAAACATGTAGAATAGAATTCACTTTATTGATCTCCACAGAGGAAATTCACATATTATATATTAAGGATCTATCAACACGCAAAGGATGTAGGAACCATGATAGCGGAAATGCTAACCCGCATCCTTCAAAATAATCGTTTGACTTCGATTCATATGAATTCTTTCAAAATGTATTATACATATTATGGTGCAACAAAATCGCACTACTACATTAATATATAGCCTTTCCAACAGAAATCAACTTTGTGTTGCTGCTGAGTCTCTTTTTCTGTGATAGCTCATTTTATATTGTAATATACCACTACATGCGTTCTTCTTACTAGCCCAATGATATAAAAAGAAGTTTTCTTACCTTAGTCAACCAGTTAATTTTTGCAAGGTTCAAATGTCTTGTGGATGGTAGCCTGCATTTAAAAAAAGGCGCACTTTGACAGGAAGTGTTTTTCAATTAAAATTTTCCTGATTACATTATTTGAATTCACTCAATATTCTCTCTATTTGGGATTAGACAAATATAATGCTTATGTTTTATTTAACTACAATGGGTGGATTTTATTCCAAACATTTTTATCCATCCATCCATCGTCAGCCGCTTATCCTACGTACAGGGTTGCGGGGGGACTGGAGCAAAACCCAGCTGACATTGGGCGAAAAGCCGGGGTACACCCTGGGCGGGTCGCCAGTCCATCAGAGGGCCCAAACATTTTTATCCATCCATCCATCCATCGTCAACCGCTTATCCTGCATACAGGGTCGCGGGGGGGCTGGGGCCTATCCCAGCTGACATTGGGCGCAAGGCGGGGTACACCCTGGACGGGTCGCCAGTCCATCAGAGGGCCCAAACATTTTTATTTGAAATTTAATTAAATATTTGCCTCAAAAGCAAAAACACAATCATATTGAATATATTTTACCTAATACATTAATTCAAATCTACATGACCACATAATCATTTCTTACAGTGAGTGACTTACTCCCACCTCTGCCAATACCTATCTTGATTTTTACTGGTGTATGCAAGGTGACAATTCACAGCTGTAAGGTCAGTATTCAAACTCCTGTAAATAATCTCTGACAATGAAGTCAGATACTAATATATATGGACAAACTTTACATAAATGTCACTGTTACTATAATCAGTTTAAGGTGCTGATGCAGGCAGCCCTATGAATACTATAGGACAATAGCACAATATAATTTATATTTTAGAATGGGTTTCCTCTTTAACTGTAATTTCATGCTTGGTTATAGGCTGTGATAGTATATTTACCCTTTTATGTAATTACACGTCACGTGGCTCAGACAGATTATCCCTGCTGTGGACGCGTTGGACTAGCAGTGTGAGCGGTGCGGTCCCTATGCTAAATCGAGCGCACCTGAATGGAGGCAGTCCTCGCCACATGGCATGTGCTCATCCGGGTACTTGTGGGTGTACACATAACGCTTTCATAACACTCTTTTAAGGGTTGTTGTTTTTTGTTTTTTTAACTTCTGCTCTCCCAAAGTGAAACCTTATACAACACGTTAAGAGAGTATGACGGAATATCGCCGTTTGAATAATTTTAAGCAACCATAGGCAACGTTGAAGCACGCGTAAGAAAGCACATTATGTAAACGTGACCGTGGAGAGGTTGTATAACGGTTTACTCTGGCCAATCAGAGCGATCTAATCCTTCCTGCGTACTCCTGTGGGCGGTGATGTGTATACGGAGAGGACGTCTTGACTGGTCGAGTTTACTAGGCATTACAGTTTATACGCAAAGTTTAACGTGTTGGTAGCGTTTTCTTGGTGCAGACTAACGTTACATGAGGATACAACCCGGAAATATTTGCGCGGTTGTACTTTATGTGAGCCTTAGCTGAGTAGTTTGCGTTAACTTTAACAGATACATGGGCTTCAGCCACGCCTCGTGTGATAGCTCACGATAACAAAACAATTTAAACGTTGCTGCTGGCTGAAAACGGACTTCTTCGGGACTTATCCCCCTCAAAGGTGCTCACTTCATCGTTGCTACCTATCGAGACGTGAGTTGGGCCGGGTTTCTTGCGTCTGTTGTGGTTACCTGCTGTCCACACATGCAGCCACCGCTGGTCGGTAGATTCAACCCTGTAGATATATTCATGGAGCAAGGTTAAGATTAGACAAATCTTTAACGCTACGGTACGAGTCCACGTCCTTATACGTCGGATGGGACTGGACACTTAATTACTTTGCTATCAAATCAACACAAGAGGGCGTTTTTTGTTTTTGTTGATTTTGGGAACCCCTCTCGTCTTTCGACCCCCATCAGGGATACATAAAGAAGGCAGGTGTCATGGGGGTCAACACCATTCACTGGTTCAGGAAGGGACTGAGGCTCCACGACAACCCTTCTCTAAGGGACTCTATCCGGGGAGCCGACACCCTGCGCTGCATTTACATCCTGGACCCGTGGTTCGCAGGGTCCTCCAATGTGGGCATCAACAGGTGGAGGTAAGGATGTGAATGGAGGGTTTAACTGATTATGTATCATCACTGGACCTCAACCCCAAATCTAGTGAACCCTAATTAGGCTCTGCTACGACTAATTATCCACCCAGTGATTCTCCACTAACTTAACCACTTCCAAATGTGCCATATTTTAGCATTTTTTGGTTAAATCCTCAACTGTCTATTTGAACATTTGTTTCAGATAACTTGCTGTCAAATTAGAAATTAAAGCATACAACTGATTTGAAAGATGTTTGTGATTGTTAATGTTAAAGGAACTGACCTACATCTAATAACACTTGATCTAAATAGGCACCTTTATCAGACAACATACTCTGTGGTTGCTTCTAAACTCCTTTCACTGTCACCCATAAAGCACCATTGCTAACACTGCTCTATAGTGGATAGTAAATTACTTTGGATCTAGTCTGTATTTGAGGCAAAGTGTATACACAGGATGTAATTATGTGAAAGTTGCCATCGTCACTCAGGGGGGCTGAGTTGCAAACATACAACAAAAACATGCAAAAGCGTGCTGACTAACAGAAGCTCCACTTTTGTGCTTTAGATGCAGAAGGATTTCAGCAAGTTTTCACAGACTGCAAAATGATAAAGAAAAGAAGTGCAAAGTGATAATTTCATACAGGTTGCCAAATGTTAACTAACCTGGCATATAGTTTACTGAATGAAATACAGTATTTTCACAAACCGGTCCATAGGCAACCAGAATTAAGTCATTTGTAGTCTGCGTGATTTCGATTAGGCTGACAAATCCTGCTTTAAAATAGGAATATTCTAATGTGCCTTCAGACTTTTGTTAAGGGTCAGTGCCTATGTGTCAATTTGGTCACTGTTCAATATCAGCAGACCTTTGACTGTCCAGTGTGTCATAAGAATCACTGTCGATTTAAATGGCCTTTAACTTTCAAGATATTTGTTAGCTTTCTGTTCCGTGTCAAAGCTCTTTGCATGTATAGCAGACACAACAGGCTTGTTTTCTGCTCAGCTGTGGTGTGGAACATGTATCAGAAGAAAAAACAGCAAATTCATATGTTGCATGTTATCTGCAATTGTAGTGTAATCATTAGTGATAACGACCCAGACCAATAGTTGTATGTAATCGCAAAAAAACCCCATTATCTGTATTCTTTTTTGTTTTGTTTTGACTTACTTGGTAACTTAAAAATACAGGATGTAAAACTGTTGACTGGGAGCATCTGTTTTCTTTATAGTCTTTCCAGCATTTACTCTGTGTTGATTGAAAATCCACAGAGCGTGATAAGCATAGCATCTTCATTTGTCTCTCTCTGAATGTCTCTTTCAACCTTTTCCATGATTGTATCAGTTAGCCGCTCAGTAGATTCAGGAAATGGATGCAGGCAGGGAGCTACTCCTGAATGAGAATACATGTTAAATACATGCTATTCACTGAGAACCAATTTTACAAATAGTCTGACATTTTCCCTGAGCATGTCCTCTGCTAATGTTCAAATGGTACGTCATATCTTGATCAGGCTGACAAATCCTGCTTTAAAATAGGTGTCTACACATATTGTACCATTGTACAGTTCTTTATCGTCTTTGAATTCAGCGGGCTGTAGTAAACTCTGTGCTCAGGCTTGAATGGAGAGCGGAGAAACTGGGTCAGTGTGTTGTTATAGCTTACATAGACATACATCTATGACTTATCTGTTACTAAAAAAGAAAAGAAAGCGGTAATGGGGCAAATAAAAAGAGCAATAAAGGTAATCCAGTGGCATGGAGTGTGACAATTCATACTTCATACATACTAACCAAATATGTGTAAATTGTATGAGGCGCTGTTTTGAATCTGTCTGTTTTGAGCAAGTCCAGGTTTGTTGTCATTGTGCTGGTTGTATTACAGAGAAAAGGTTTGATTTTAAATGCTGAAGCATATATCTTATACATGAAAGCACTTGTTTTCTGCCTCTCCCTGTAATAAATGTCCCTGTTGTGTTTAAGTATAGTCTGCTACGGTTCTTGGTAACATTTTGCAGCATATAGTGAACTGAGTGTCTAAAAAGACTTCACCAGAAGAGGGCTGTCTGTTCACATTAAAACACTTGGATCTTCCATTTCATGCACTCCTTTCATCTCTTTGTCACATGATAATGAAATGATGATTATACTTTTAATTTTGACTGCATCAGATCGTTTGTCTTTCTCATGTTGGTGCTGTTGTGGATATTCACAAAATACTTGTCTCTCTGCAGTGCAATTTAATAATACAGAGTTTTTTTTTAACTGAAGTTAAATTAGTTAGTGTTTTTCAAGAGATGCATCGATTGCAGTTTCCCTGGCTGATTCCTTTTTCTTTTAAAGGTCTGTAACGTGTCCATAAACCTATAGTCTTGTTGTAGTTATCTGTATTTAGGTTGAATGAATTTTAAGTTCCACACATGCTAAGCAGCAGTCTGAGGTGCTGACTTTTAATAAAGCAACAACTGAATCTCTAACCAGCCTAATCTAGGAGCGTCCACACAGTCATTGCTTTTCCATTGAAATGTTACTCACCCCCAGGAATGCTTTCAGATCATCAAATCAGCTATGCCTGATGCTTAGTGATCTCATGATTGCATTTTGGGAAACCCCGGTCTCAGCTGTATAATGACTTAATTGATCATTCTGCCTGTTTGATTCCAGGTTTTTGTTGCATTGTTTAGAGGACTTGGACGCCAGCCTGCGCAAACTCAACTCCCGCCTGTTTGTCATCAGAGGCCAGCCTACAGATGTCTTCCCTCGTCTTTTTAAGGTATAAGAGATGGAATAAAGTAGAAGATGCCATCTTATAATTCGGTTTGTTCTGAAGCAAACTAACACTGTAAGAACTTAATAATTTTAACATAATGTTGTTGCTCATTAAACAGGAAAACAATGTAAGATTTTGATAGTTCAGTGGACTTGTGCAATGGCCCTCGGAATCCATTACATAGAAAAATCTCGGATATCAATATATCAGTCATATAAAACACAGACGCCGGCTGCATATCAAGCACCCTCACATTCTGTCCTGAACTCAAGTTTGAGGTTAATCGCTCAGAATCAGTTTGTTGTGATGATATTTGAACAGGAGATTAGAATAACCAAACGCACATTGTGGTCATCCCTTTATACAATTAATTACTTTGTTCCTCAGGAATGGCAGATCTCCCGTCTATCTTATGAATATGACTCTGAGCCGTTTGGTAAGGAACGTGATGCTGCCATCCAAAAACTAGCCAGCGAGGCTGGAGTAGAGGTCATGGTGCGGATTTCACACACCCTCTACGATCTGGCTAAGTGAGTGACTATAAAGAATTAGTTGAAATAAATGTTGCATAGTAATGAACCTGTTTGAAACTATGTGTATTGTCACATATTGTGTTTGTGAAGTGTGTTGATTCCCTTTTTACATTTTTCTTTCCAACAGGATCATAGAGCTCAATGATGGTCAGCCTCCTCTTACGTACAAGCGCTTTCAGGCCCTCATCAACCGTATGGATGCTGTGGAGCTCCCTGCCGAGACGATCACACCTGAGGTTGTCAAGAAATGTGCCACACCCACCAGTGACGACCATGATGACAAGTTTGGGGTGCCCTCTCTGGAAGAGCTTGGTATGTTTTTTTTTGTTTGTTTGTGTGTTTGTTTTTTCTTTATTTCTTTCTAAGTGGCTGTATGTTGTGTGCATGAATACACTGGTCCTGGTGTATACACACACATTATATCCGGCTTATTCTCAGTGTCAAAGTCACAGACTTGGAAACATTTTTTAATCTTCATTTGCCTTCAGGTTTTGAGACAGAGGGCCTGACCACAGCAGTATGGCCAGGTGGAGAAACGGAAGCCCTCATGAGGCTTGAGCGGCATCTGGAGAGGAAGGTAAAAAGATGACTTTACTGCACAGTATTACACAAAATAAGAAACGAGTGTAGTTATGAATTACTGTAGCTTTAGTTGATTGACCACTCACCTACCTCATACCATAACATAAAGATAAAGACTAACCTGACACACATCTTGCACACAAGTTCATTTGAAAGCCTGGTCTTTTTCTCCCTCCAGTTCCTTTGCAGTGAAATGTGCACACAGATTGAATTGGCAAAATTAGTTGGATAAATGCGTGATAGAAGAGTTTGACGGAATTTGACTTTATTTAGGATATTCTGTATTTCTAGTCAAACTAAAAACATTTAATAACATGCAGTATTCCTCTTTAAACTTGTTCTCTGCTTCCTGATGGTCACATGCATACTGCTGATGGCAGGTTATTAAAAAAGCCTGAATCATTACTATCCAGCATCTGGGCTTTACACCTTTTTCCATTAAAAAATAAATAAATAAATAATAATAATAAAAATATATATCTTTCATTATTACTGTGAATATTTTTTGTTCAAAAATCTACACCCAGGTGTTTTTAAATACACACAGCAGCAGAGTACCACTGTTTTCCATATAGCCACTACAAAATGAACAATGATGTGGCACCAGAAAACATTTTAGAGGACTGGTATAGTTTCTCTTTAGAACAACAGAACCAATAAACCTCAACACATTAAAGATGGCTAGAATTGAATCTAACATTTAGGCCAAAACACTGAGACGTCTCGCTTCAAGTGATGAACTCCACCGGGTGTGTGCTGTATCACCATCAACAGCATCTTTCTTTTTGAGCCTCATAGTTTGAGGCCTGATACTCAAACATGTCATAGCTCATTTGGTGTCTGTCATGTATTCAGGTGCATATTTGCTCTCAGCAACCATAGTGGTATTGTTTTAGTTAAATGCTAACTATCCATCTTTTTACAGGCATGGGTGGCAAACTTTGAGCGTCCACGTATGAACGCCAACTCCCTGCTGGCCAGTCCCACAGGCCTCAGCCCCTACCTGCGCTTTGGTTGTCTCTCCTGTCGGCTCTTCTACTTCAAACTTACTGACCTGTACAGGAAGGTACGAATGACCACAGACAAGACACAAAACAATATGAACAATTTATATTTGGAAATGAGCCCGTTCTGAATTCGCCATTTTACGTTTTATCATGTTTTGTTTTTACCCTGCACTAAGTTTTATGTTAATATGAGTCACATAATCGTAGTCAATACACTGTCACATAGGCGTTTAAATGGCTATACTGGTTATTATAGGTTAAATGGCATCAATATTTATAATATATAATAGAATAATAATATTATTGTGACTATTAGTGATAATATAATTTAACTTGTGTTAAATTCATTTTAGGGCACCACTCTTAAAGAAGAGAAAAGTGATAACCCATTAATTTAGTCTCATAAAAGGTACCAAACTAATTTGCAACACGTGCGGTCCCAACATTTACAACCTACCATCTTTCTTGTGGCCATTTTCTTTTCATATGATGGTTAAGGAGTCAAACCAGTCTATCCTGCAGATGATACATTTCTGTTGCCTTTTTTTTGCGCTCTGTCTTATCAGGTCAAGAAGAACGGCACCCCACCCTTTCCTTGTATGGCCAGCTGTTGTGGAGGGAGTTCTTCTACGCGACTGCCACCAACAACCCCTGCTTTGACAAGATGGAGGGAAACCCTGTGTGTGTCCAGATCCCCTGGGACAAAACCCAGAGGCGCTGGCCAAGTGGGCAGAGGGACGGACAGGCTTTCCCTGGATAGACGCCATTATGACCCAGCTGAGGCAGGAGGGGTGGATCCATCACTTGGCGAGGCACGCTGTGGCCTGCTTCCTCACCAGGGGAAACCTCTGGATCAGCTGGGAGGAAGGCATGAAGGTAAGAAGAGAGAAAAGGGATCAAGTACACAAGGTGTTCACACTTGTCATAAATCACCACAGTTTAAAGTTACTACTAGCATGCATCGTCTCAACTGCCCACTGTCTGTGTCTTGTACAGGCATTTGACGAGTTGCTGATAGATGCGGACTGGAGTGTAAATGCTGGCAGCTGGATGTGGCTTTCTTGCAGCTCGTTTTTCCAGCAGTTTTTCCACAGCTACTGCCCCGTGGGATTTGGACGACGCACTGACCCCAACGGTGACTACATACGGTCAGTCAGTACTTTCATTTGCATCACATGATTATAAAAACGCAGACCTTTCATAAGCAGACATTGTTGTTGGTATCTGTGCCCCCTGCAGTAATTTCAAATGAGCAAATAAAATCTCATGGTAAGCTTGTGCTCTTTTGCAGCCTCACATGATTTGTCATGGTTGCATCAGGATTAGAAAAGTATCAAACAATTGTTTAGAAACTCATTTCATTTTTGCATTATTGGTGATGCACTACACCACAGAGAGGCTCCTTATTGTGAACAACGTTGTAGTACCTGGTAAACAGCGATTAAATTGTGTGACCTAATTTACAGTGTCAGTATAAATGGGGGGGGGAAAGAGTGAGCTTTCACACTCAATAAAAAAGTAT